CTGAACGAACCTTGCCACCTCTACGCGGTGTTTGGGAGAAACAGTTATGGGTTGACCTATATCTGGCCAAGTGCAAGTATTTTTTAGTTAGAACGAACGATATAAAGAAATTTTTATTTTTATTTTTATTTTTGTAATATGTATCTACTGTAAATAAACGATTATTATGTGTTAAATATTAATTAATAAACTTTCGTTGATAAAAAATTTTAAACATTTTAACGAACAATTCTTTACTCTTTGTAACTATCATAATTTATGCATAAAACTATGCTTTGGTTGAATGCCTCCTTCATTACAAAGACTTTGAAGTTTGTAAAAATTATATATATTTTTTTTACTTAGAATTCCTTAACTCCTTTCGTCTTTTCATCCAACTCTTCTTTAATCCTTTTTTCCTTCGTCTGCTTTAGAACGGGAATAACTTCTTCATAAACATGTTGTTTATAAGTATTTTTAGCAGTTTCTAACAAAGCTCTGGGAATATCATATTTATCCATAATAACTTCAACAATTTGAATTTTATCCGGCGAAAATTTCTGAATAAAAGATTCTACTTCATCCTTTGTTGAGATTCTAACGGAATTTCCTTAAAGAAAAGAAAAATGTTTACCAAAAGATTATTACAATATTTTATTTGTTTCGCAAAAGTATTAAGGTCTTACCTTTTCCTGCCCCACCAAAGTAATCCAATGTTTTACAGAAATCCCATTGTTGAATATCATTATATTCACGTTTAAGTCCATGAAGCATTCGCTCGATGGTATATCCTTCGTTGTTAAGAATAAAAATAATAGGTTGAATATTGTAACGAATCATTGTGGAAATTTCTTGTACGGTCAATTGTCTTTTGTTTTTAAAAAAAAAATAAAAAAAAAAGGGAAAAAAAAAGGTTTAGTAAAATTACTTGATATTGCTTTCAAAACACAAAACAAGTATAACTTACAAAGATCCATCTCCCACGAATAAAATAACACGTCTTTTCATTTGATTATTTCTCGCAGCTAAAGCAGCGCCCAAAGTAGCACCGACGCTATATCCGATACTTCCGTATAAGATTTGACTAATAAATGTTGCACCTTTAGGAAATTTAATGTCCATTAATCCAAACATTGAAGTACCAGTTTCTGCTATAATAATATCATTAGGTTTAAAAAATTTTGAAGAAATCTCTCTCCAAAACCAATTTTGAACGATCAGTTTAGATTCCACTTCTTCAGGAAGTAGACGATATTGATATGGGGGTTGAATTTGTGGAAGATTATTCAAATTTTCCAAGCATGACGTGATTTTAGGCAAAATTTGTTTCAAAGAAAGATTTTCGTAATGCGCATAGAAGACTTTGACTTTTTCGTGTCCAAATTCTATGGTTTTTGCTTGAGATACATGGTAAGAAAATCCCCTTTTTTTTTAAAAAAAAAATAAATGAACTAATAAATAAGTTGGTTAAACGAAATGTAAATTAATTAATATGAGTGGACATTAATTACCCCGTGTTGAAATCTGACTTGATCGCACCGACGGAAATGATTAAATCAGCATGTTCAACTTCATTTTTAACGTGGGATTCGCTTACATTACCAATATAAATTCCACCAAATTGCGGATGATCTTCAGATATAATCCCCTTTCCCATTGGAGAAGTAAAAAATGGAAGTCCAGTTTTTTCAATAAATTCCAATATTTCATTTGTAGCATCATAACGGGAAGTTCCAACATCGATGAGAACAATTGTACGATTAGATTTACGAATAATTTCAACTATGTGATTTACAGCAGTATATTCGACATCATGACAATTTTCGGATAAGGATAAATTTAATAGATCCTCCGAAAGATCCGTGACAACATCAATTTCTTGATGACATACATCAACTGGTAGGGAGATATAAACTGGTCTTACTTTTATATAACATTCTCTTAATACTCGATCAATCTCAGATTTTGCATTATTTTGATTGAGACAAGTTTGGGCTACCGTAATTTCTTGGTATATTCTCGTGTAAATTCTAAAATCTCCATTGCCAAGGGTATGATGCAATATTGCCCCTTCGGATTGAGATTTAGTGGAAGGGGTCCCTACTATATGTACAACTGGAACTATTTCCGAGAATGAACCCGCAATGGCATTAATTGCCGAAAGTTCACCTACACCAAAAGTTGTTATCAAGGCCTAAAAATTTGAGAAAAAAACAATATTAACATATAAAACATTTCTGAACGAAACGGCAAAAAAAAAAAAATTCATACGGATATTTTATTAATCCTTGCATAACCATCAGCGGCATAACCACAATTCAATTCATTACATCCTCCAATCCATTCAATTCCTTCTTCATCTTCTACATAATCCAAAATGTCCATATTGAAATCACCGGGTATTCCAAATACATGCTTGATACCTAATTCCTTTAATCTTTTAATTAAATATGTCCCAACTTTCATCTCTGTATTCTCTGTTTTTCGAAATGTCGGGGGAAAATTTCATTTTTGATTCTTTTTATAATAGATGGTTTTTTTGTGACGTTATAATGTTATAATAAATAATCTAACATTATACTAAGATTAGTTCATTTTAGTTTTAGTTTGGATTTGGCGTTTAACATTCTTATTCTTTAATTGAATAAAACCGAATGAAAATCACGGTTTGTTTGTTGGAAGGTTAGCTCAATTAAACATTAAATAATCGATTACAACACCAAATTAACTCCGCTGTATATTGATAAGAAATTAAAATAACTTCGTTTGATGTATAAAACGACTTTTATTTATTAGATAGTGCGCGAATATCGATGTTTCAAAAACTGAATATTCGAATATCAATCAATGGATCAGAAGCGAATTTCGGAGACATTTTTATATTTCATAAAATTTCGGGTGTCAAAATCATACAAACTTATATCGAGATTTTAACAATTAATCCTGGAAACATAAAAACAATAATTTTTTAACTCGTAAAATGAAAAAAATAAAAATTTATGAAATATCTAATTTTTGGTATTATATTATTTTTTAATTAAAAATTAAAAATTAAAAATAAAATATATTTTTCATCGGCCATCAGCTTTTTTGAAGTGTTAAATATCTCAAGTGGGTAAAATGTATTGATATAATCTTAATCTGCCATTAAAATGGCCTCAACTTCATCGACCGTTCTAATCAAGATTGTATTTGGAAATTCATATCGATTTTTTGGATCCCTAATAGCATTGCTAACTTTTCGATAAGCTTCAATAAACATCTTACTTACTCTTAGATTCACTTTTTTAACTAATGGTTTTGGATGACCTTTGAGTTTAAAAGTATCACTATCTGTCAATGATAAAAATGAATCTAATCTTGCCATTATGTTCGTTAATGATTTTGGATCCATATAATGCACGAGTGATAATGGCGTCTATTTAATAAGAGAGTAAATTTTGTGATTCATTTATTTTTTTTTAAAACCAAAGTGATTAATAATTTATTACTTACATTTTCATCCTTTGTTTCTATTGCTTGTACAATTGGTTTTAATCCGGATTGCTTTAAGAGATTTATATACTATAAATAATAATAACATTAATAAATTTACAAATATTCTAAATTAAAATTTTGATTTAAAAATTAAAAACTATTTTTCAAACCTGTTCATCAACCAAGATTTCCAAATTTTCTTCAATTCTTCTCTCAATATCCATAACGCGACCGTGTGTGAAATCGTACAAGGTTAAATCAGACTATCATGTGAAATTAAAAATGAAATTTTTTAACGAAAAATTTTTTTCACTTGTAGTAGGAAAAAAAAGGAGATATTTTAATTTGATATTTCACCTGAACATAATGAAGACAATTAACCATGTAAATTGCTTGATTAAATCTAGTTAAATCTTTTGCACCTAATTCACACATTTGAAATAAAGGATCTAATATTGCATCCAAAACTGTTTTAAAATCTGCTTCCCTTTCTGATGCTGTAACTAAAGAGGTCTCGTATGATGTCATGATAGCTTTCTATAAATATAATATCAAAATTCTTTTAGATTGAATCCATCATAGAGAAAATTCTTTGATCAAAATTCAATTTACCAATTGTAATAAAACTTCTTTTACTGCAGGTGGTGGGGACAAATCAGGACTTGGAGTCTAAAAAAAAAAATTAATACATAAATAAAAGACATTAAAATTGAAAATGATTTGATAAAAAATTAAAAATTACTTGAATAAATCTCAATAATTGTTCGGCTTTGGTATTTAAAGTATTATAAAACACCCTGGATGCAGTTTCTGTAATACTAGACGAAACCATTGAAATCGTTAAGATTTTTAGTAGTAAAAGAAATTGATTTTTGTCTTGTTAACTTACATTTCAAGCGTATTGGATAAATTTGCATTGGGACCCAAAATTCTTGCAATGGTAATTTTATAAAATTGAATCAAATTTAAAATTCTATATCCTGTTATAGCACCAATTTGAGACCCTATAACTTGTTCTACACGAGTCTAAAATATTAAATGGAATCCTATTAACAATTTTGAACAATGTCCATTTATTTCACTTTATATGAATGGTATTATACCATAAGTGGTCGACAAGTTCCATCAAGGTCCCGATCCAACAAATCTTGTATAATAATATCGTCACTTTCTCTCATTAAATTTTCTTCTTGAGTGATTTCATCAATCAAATCTAAATAAATAAATATTTAGGAACTTTTATAAAAAAAACGTAGAAATAAATCTTTATCGTTATTTACCTAGCTTGGGTTCAAATAATCCTTCTAAAAATTCTCTTTCACTAGCTACAGTTTGATGTATCCATGCCAACATATCACCAACATAACGTAATGGGTCATGCGAGTGCAATTCAATAGGTTTAGGAGTTCCTCCGGGACCTCCTCTTATTAAAGCATCCATAAAGGCTCTAGACACGGAATTTCGTCGAATGTGAACGAGTTCTTCTAAACAAGACCTTAATTAGAAGGATAAAATAAATTGTAAAAAAAAGAGAAATTTTCTTTTGAAAATCACGTAAAGAGTTTGTACATACTGAAAAAGAACAGGCCGCTGTTTTAAAGCTTTTAGTGCTTGTCTCATCGTAATTGGCACTTCCAACGATCCCCTACCTAAATTTCTAGTTTCAGTTTGTGTCCATCTATACAATTTGTCAAACGCCGTTTCTTGACAAGCATTCATCCTTTCCATAATTTCCAAACTTAATATTTTTGAAAAAAAAAAATTATGTATGTATATTTAATAATACAATAAATCTAATTTCATAAAGGTTTTGATAACTTAAATTGTGTATATACCCGGCTCTTTGATTCTCGGTAATTAAAAGTGCATCACAATCTCCATGAATTTGTTGTAAATGCCTTAAAGCATCAAAGAATTCAATTCCTACCTCCGAATCAAGTGATGTTAACACAAGGATCTCTTTTTCAGAGAGAGTAAACCTTTTTAAGAATGCATCTATTAAAATTTTCCTTATTTTACACGTTTCCCTGAATAAATCAAATAATAATAATTAATTAAAGATTTAAATGCCATTTGTTATATTGTAAGGTTAGTGAGCTAACCTTTGAGACTTTAAACCATCACTTTGTTCTAATAATACAGCCGTTTGTTTCTTGGCAGATTCCAAACCTTTTCCAATTTCATCACAAAAAGTATTCATATCTTTAACTTCTGATTCAATAACCGCTAATTTCTAAAAAAAAAAAAAAAAAAAATATATATATATAATCATATTTCAATAAGTATTTATAATAAATGAATAATAAAACTTTACCTCTGTAACTTTACCAAAAATTTCTAAAAAATTTCTATTAGTTTCAATAGCTTTTTGTTCGATCTTACCTCTTAAATTCCTACGAGCGATAATAGAATTATTATTATCATCATGATTATAAAATTCAGATAAAGCTTCTAATGCAATTTTGGTTTTCGTATCATCTATTGGATTAAGTAAAATTTTGGAAACTTTGAGTGAAATTGGATTATCTTCTTGTGGTGGAGGAGTTGTTGGAGTTTTTGTTGTAATGTTAGTATTTGGTGAACGTACCAGGGGAGGTGTAATTGGTTTTACTGGATCAACCATTTTCGATGAATTTAAAGTTTTTTGATTTTCGGAAACAATGAAATATGACGATTGTTATCGTGATACAATTTTCCTTTCACGTGAATTTATTGGATCTCCAAAAGTGGCTGTCACTACAACAGGAAACGGTTATATCTTCCTAAAATGTAGGAAAATGGGGCTCAAAGAATTTATTATTTTTTTTTTAAGATTAAAAATCAATAAAAATTAAAATTTTTTATTAAAAAAATTCTCAGAGCCCCATTTTCCTAACAAACCTTTTCTATTATTAAATTAATAAAAGTATCAATCAAAAAAAAAAAAATTGTTTTATAAAGGTTAAATTCCCTAATTATAACGAAATTTGCATGTATTGCTTTATGTTCGCTTTTAATCATTGGGGGTGTTTCATATATCATTTATATAATTTGTGATCAGCACATGACCGTCTGAACATCATATAAAAAGAATTCTTCTTCCCTCGAAATGGTGTGATTTCTCAATTTTCAATTGAATTTTAGCCACCTGATAGGAATCACCCAAAATAGATCGTCCGAAATCAAATGGTGTAACAACTTTACATTTGTTTATTATTTATTACATAATCGAAAGGGAATGAATTCAAAAATCATTGTACAATGGAAAGAATTGAAAAAAAATTGAAATAACCTTTTAATTAAAATTTTATTGATAAATTGATTGAATTCAGGACGAGTTTATTTTTTTTGTCGTTGTTCATGTAGTATCTTTGATCTTTATAAGGCAATATATGATACAAGTATATAATTCTATAAATAGAATTTTTGTTCAAATATATAAAGCCTTATTTATACTTAGCATAGATTAAATTCTTTATCAAATTGCGACGAATTTTTTTTTATTTTTTTTTATTTACATCGATAAATATGTTTACAATTGAGGCATTGCGAAGGCCAACAGAGCCAAGATTTTTTAAGTTAATTCGAATAGGATACATGATATGTTTCTTGTTTGTATTAGGATATTTTGGATATCTCCAAGTCAGGTCTTTTACAATTGGGTTAGGTAAACCAGACATAATTGTAAGTCATTCAAGAGTACGTCCAAATTTTCCAGGTAATTTATTGAAATCTTCAATCGTTTTCGGAATATCAAATCTTTAATTTTGTTTATTATCTTTCTTTATATTAGGATTTACCATATGTCCGAATGAACCTAACTCAACTCTTTATTTAAATGACCCTGAAACGGATGCAACAACTTTCTTGAGAAAACGATCACCTCAAGAAACGACAACACCGAATGAAACGACACCATCCAATCCGGCAACAAATGATTATAGTTTTGAGATCACGTGTGAATTTCGTAATGTTTATGGTCCGGGAATCTTAACAGGTGCATTAGAAGGACCAGATCCCAAGACGGAAGAAACTATACCATGTGATCTATTTTTACGTAAAGGATTAGGATGTTATCAGTTTCGTCCTCAACCGGAAGAACCTAGTGATGATGATAAAAATGATCCATCATTCGTTTATGAGAATTACGTGATATTTAAAATTCGTAGTACGACAGGAGCTTCCCTAGCACCATATTTCGCTTTATTTTTTGATCGATATTTTCATAAAGGAGATGATTTTAAATTCATCTCACGTCTTCCCCCCGATCAACCAAAATTACAACAACAAAAAGCCATAATATATAATTGGAACTCTATTGATATTACTAAAACGAATTTTTTTGAATATCGCATTGCTATATTACAAGCTTACTCCACCTCTTATTTGGGTCAACTTGGCTTGCCACCGGATGTTAATCTTCTCAAAATTGAAGTTGAAAAGGTTTTATTACCAGACATGAACGCAGATGGTGAAATTGTTTTTATTGTTAAACCTAAACAACCTTATCAAATTCGATATGAAGCAGAGTATTACACTTCTCATCGTAAGTAGAAAGAAGTTATTATTATTATAATTGTTATCAAATTTTTAACATTTGATTTTATCATTCTTTAGCTATAAATATCATAGCAAACGTGGGAGGTTTTTATGGTGCCGTGATCGGATTTTTTTGCTTTTTATTCGGTAGTCCAAGATTATCACCATGGTACAATACATAGCATGCATACATAAATATTTATCGAGTAATTTCTTTTTCATTAACAATTATTTATTTAATTTATTAGGGGAATCTTTCAAAAATATTGTTTCAGATGTTGGCCATGCAGAAGAAGTTTCAAGAGACATTTAGCAGCACGATACATTTCTTCAGCCGGTATACCATTGGGAGAATATGTTGAAGAACGTCCTGAAGGTTCTACTTTAGAAAGGCGTGTACAAATTTTAGAGTCGTTGTTAAAAGAATATTATATCGATTCTTATTATTTGGACACTTTAAGGGAGACTAAAATAAGATATCAGTTGCAAAAGGAAAGATATAATCGTTTGGAAGGATCGATGGAATTAGAACATTTGGTGAATGATGACAATAATGAACAGTTGAATGAAATTAAAATTGATCAATGAACGAGAAACAAAAATATTTTTATAGTTTAAAATTAGTTAATTTAGTAATTTGGCTAGTAGTTTCTTTTTTTTTAAAAAAAAAAAAATTGTAATATAAAAATTTTGGATTTAATTTATTATTTAATTTAAAAGATAAAAGATAATTTGTAGATCTTTGATATTTTGATATAACGAACTAATGTATTAAGTTTTCGGTTAGCTTGATATATAATTATGGTTTAACCCTTTTCATCATATTGCATACGCATATGGCGTAATTAGAATCTTATTTTTCGCACAAGTGAAGATTTTAAAACATACGACAAATATGTAAGATTTTTTTCATTTAATGAAGATATAAAAAAATGCTCAAATTAAAAAAATATAAAAAATATATATAATTTTACCTCTAGAAAAAAGCGATTTTCACATGAAATCCCGAGACTACTTAAAAAATTTCCCGTAAGAGTATAGTGTATATTGATCATTTTTTATTATATCAACTTTAATATTAATTTTGTTTTAATTATTTCCATAATGTGCAATAATAGAAATTTATATATGTTGAGTTCCAAGTATATACAATATAACGAATCTGATTGAATAATGAACTCTTAAATATCGACCAGTTCGTTGCTCTCTTTAATTTTGAATCTTTTTTTTTTTTTTTTTTTTGACGATTCAGTTGACATTTCAACTTTATTTTACGAAGTTTTGATTTGGAATTGACAGACTTTTACCTGAGAAAATTTTGTGGTATTAAATTTAAATTAATCAATTGATGTTCAATATACTTGGGTTTCGATTTTTTTATTCCTTATTTGGTATCTTTAAATAAGAGAAAGTATCACTTTAATATCACAAATTATTATATTTATTTTAATAAACATATTTAATATAATGTCTAGATTATGCTTTGTAAATCTTTTAATTATTTGCATAAGCATGTAAAAGGAAAAGTACAGTGTCCTATGTTGGGATCAAGGAAACCTTTATGGTAAAATGATACACATTAGATTGAAGATGCATATTTATACCAAGGCTTCAATGTTTAAGATGCAGACCGATTTAATGTCCATGTGATGCTTAGAATAAAACGTTAAAAACATGAAATTCTTTTAGTCGATAATATAATATTATCGCCAGATATTTGAATTTAATCTCGTATTAATCACAAAAAGACTAATAATGACGAATAAGACGGCTGAACTTGCAAAAAAATCAATGTCATATTCCTATTAAATAAGTGGCAAAAAGGGCGAGAACGCGAAGCGTCTAAAGAGTTAATTAAATGATTTTTGTGAAAAACCTTGGTGAAAAAAAACAAACAAGACATACTCCTTTTTTATGTTCTTCCTTTTTCGCAGCTTGTATCATAGCTAATATCATTTTAATAAAAGCTATTTTCTCTGTGTCACTGATACAACGAGAATAATAAATATGCACCAATGAGTTCAAATTATCATAAACTTTTTGTAATTCTTTCAATAAACTTAAAGTGTAAGTGAAGTTGTTTCCAGATGAATTTGGATCAGCAGGTGAAGTTGGAATAACAGATTGAAACAGTAAGTGAAGATGGACCAGGTAATTGAAATTTTATCGGCAGTTTCTGCTACATGTATAGCTAGGGATGGTAAAGTTAGTCTTGGTCCGGTCTTGATCCTTAGACTTATAAGTCCTATCATGTGGACTTACAGATCAGGTCTAATAGATAAGTCCTCAGGATCAAGTCCTAGAACTTGGTCCCAAATAAGTCTTCATATAATAAGCCAAATAGGTCCTAGGATTAGGTCCGAATAGGTTAGGTCATTATATATTTAATAAGTTTGAATAGATATTATTGTACAGTGGCTCACAAAAGTAATGCAACTGTTAAACATAAAATTTTAACTTTTTAAATATAAATTATATTAAAATAAAATAAAGTTTATTGAATTCTAATTACATTCCGATTTAATCATATGATCTGCAGATTGACCACAATTTTTTCATTTTAGGAGTTGTATTACTTTTGCGGTTTTCTGGGTCCACCCATTTTGGTTAGATTAAAATCGAAAACAATGGGTTATAAATATAAAACAATAAAAAAATCAGGCAGTCTTCGAGCAATTTCTGTTCACACAGAATGTAGAATTCTCTGACTTATTGCTTCTAATAAATGCTCTACAGCGGTTGATATACAAGGGTACTCAAAAATCATGATAAAATTCAAATTTTGACTGAAACCATATGCTGAATATTTCAAAGAAACAGTCTGAAATCAAGAATTAAGAAAAAGAAGCCTTACCTCAAAAAACACACCGAAAATGTCACTTGGATTTTGCAAAAAAGCATCAAAATTGGACCGTGAAGAATTGGAAGAAGGTAATCTGATCTATGAAAGTAAATTCATATTTTTTGGTTCGGATGGACGCCAATACTGCTGGAAGAAACCAGAGGAATCATTAAAAAGTCTTCATGTCAAATCAACAGTAAAATTTGTAACAAAAGGTATTGGTAACCTTTGTAAAATTGATGGTGGCTTAAATGGAGAACTTC